GGGTCTGCCTAGTGTTGTTTACATCCCCTGTGTGGTTTGCAAACTATTACACATTGGAGGGTTTACCCTGTGCGCACAGAGTGCTCGCCCGAAAGGCAGAGAATGTGGCAGAGGAAGTAACGGCTGCGGATTTTCCCGAAATTTTAAAAAAAAAAGGCTCTCTTATTTTGGTTAATTTGTCAAAATGCCCACTTCTTCGGATCGGATTAAGGCCCCTCCTTACTGTATGAAAGGTTTTATGCCAGAAAGATGATTGCATGAAGATAACATGTTCTACAATTAAAAAATCAAATTAAGACAATCATTCGAAGAATAAATCAAGTAAAACCTAATTTTGAGAAGATAAATTATTCAATGATACACGTGATAGTATTCAATGGTGACAGTTCAAAATGGTTATGAATCTCTTTAGGAAAATTCCTAAAAGGGTTGACATATTATACACAATAATATATATTATTAATCGCGCCAAAATGATCCAAGATGAATTAGACATTACACAATTATAGCCATATTTATCCCTTTTTTCATTGCAAATAGATTAAGGGAAACCCAATCATGAGAAACATGCTACAGGTTGGTCATCAACATCAATTGCTAATTCAAGCTAAAACTCTAATAATTCTAATAATAAATAAATTCTTAAACTATTATATGCGTGTGGCACAAACAATCGTTATCATGAAGTTGATAACACGCCTATTGCTCTTTTTTTTTCTTAAAGAAAAATTGTGGTGAGACAATAAGGACGCACTATTATGGTAAAATAATAAAGTTAAGGGTATGACTGATAATTTTGATATGAATTTGTAAACCTATTCAAACTAAAAGGAAAAAACTTCGTGAAATGGATTACTACATTTACGGATACAAGCATGGTTTCAAATATGTTTAGACAATTACAAATCATTATTGGGTTCAGTGTTTTAAAAAGTGAAAAGTTAGACGAAGCGTTTTACTTAATACGAGGCGAGATGCTTTACTATTAATATTTGATATTCTTTTTGATAACTAATATCAATATCAATTGTGTGGGGTAGCAATTTTTTAAAGTGGTATTTACTTTTTACCCAGCATTTTCAATGCTTAGCAATAGTAGCCACTAGTTTATTAAAATTAATATGAAAAGATTATATTACCCTTTTTTCTATCTCTTTCATGTTTGGAAGAAGAACTCCGTGAGACGGCGACTGCGCAGAGAAGGAAACTGAGGATTTGTTTGGAAAGAAAATCAAGATTCAGAGGACCAAACAAGGAGGACAAGTGTAGTAAACGACCAAGAGACGCAACTACCTCAAGAATGGACTTATTGAATATTGATGGGTAACATTTAATTGGGAAGCAACTAATAAGGACAGACAGAAGTTGAATAAGACGAATGAATATTCTATCGTCAAATATTTTTATTTTTTTTGTGAAAAGATACAAATAACGTGTGGTTTTCTGCTACGTTATGGATCCTGAACTTACAGTTACAAGTTTAAAAGTTAAGGACACTTGATCCTGAACTTCGAGTTTTAAATTCAAAAGTTAAGGACACTTGGTCCTGAACTTAGACTAACAAGCTCAAAAGTTAAGGACAATAGGTCCTGAACTTAGGCTAAGAAGCCCAAAAGTTAAGGACAATAGGTCCTAAACTTAGGCTAAGAAGCCCAAAAGTTACGGACACTTGGTCCTGAACTTACAGTTACAAGTTCAAAAGTTAAGGACATGTAGTCCTGAAGTTAAGTTCAAAAGTTAAGGACATGTAATCCCGATGTCCTGAACTTAGAGTTCCAAGTTCAAAAGTTAAGAACATATAGTCTTGAAGTCCTGAACTTAGAGTTACAAGTTCAAAAGTTAAGGACATGTAGTCCTGAAGTTAAGTTCAAAAGTTAAGGACATGAGCAGAAGGATATTTTCGTCCGGACAATTAAAATTTATTAAAGCAGTGGCTAAAGACTAAAAACATTTTAAACAGTAACTTAAAAGTAAGTACATATGTTATTAGTGGCTAATTGTGCACGTTCTGCGCACCGTAGTATGAAAATCCGACATGTTCAGTCTTATGCACAATCTTTTTGACATGGGCTAAATGTAGACGTTGAACAAACTGAAGTGGTTGAGTCTCCTGTATTATTTATGATCAAATAACCCTTCATTTAATTGATAAATATTAAGTAGCTATACCTACTAAGAAAACAACCAATCCCTACAATTTGAAATTCTCATGAGCTTAACATGGTGAATCCAAACTATCAATTTATTAGTTCAGATTTAGTTTCATATTCATTTATGAATAGGGTTAAAGCAATTTGGGACACTCACAATTCTAAAAAAAAATTCACCAAATATAGAAAATGTTGCTAACAACAATAGCTTACGTATTAAAGATTTCTCTCCTTCGTGAAATGACAATTCTAATGGTGTAGAAATTCTTTACGTTATTAATATAATATAAATTATACATAAATGCTTATATATTTTATCCGGTATTTATACTAAATTATGCAAAGCGAGAGAATATATTGAGGATATGTCCATCTTTTGAATTCATTAGTTTAATGTAATTAAAACCTAGTGTGAAGATGTAAGTTAAAATTATTTAAGAATAGGTTGAAGCCATTTTTGGAAGCTTATAATCCTAAATAAATTTTCACCAAATATAGAAAATTCTCTACTATCAACAATAACTTACATATCAAAAACTTCTATGCTTTGTCAAATACAACTTCTGTAGTACCGCTTAGGCAAGAATTAAAAAGGTTATAAAATTGATTCCATTGAAAAAACAAAGAGTTAATACCCTAAAATTCCCCTAAACTATCAAGTTTTTGTCAGTTTCCTACTTAAATTATTCGTTGTCCTCAAAACCCCCATAATTATTGCCCTTCATATTAAAATCCACTGCTTGCATTCTTAGAGGTACGTCTAGTACACACTTCTAATTGTCTAGAAAACGTGCGCAACACTATACGTGGCTATTTAACTCAGTCTAAACCCCACCTAAACTATCATTTTTTTGTCAGTTGACTACTTAAACTATCTAGTTTCCCCAAAACTCCCTTGAACTATATTCCCCTATATATCAAAATCCCACGTTTGACTTTTAAAGGTACGTCTGTCTAACTATATTAACTTATGATTCATACAAAGTTCTTATATAGTTTACTTATAATATATTACTCTCGAATGATTGATTAATTCTAGGAGTTTTGGTCAAAATAATATCTAATGTACCATGTTAAGTTTAGGTTTAGTTATGATTGTGCTTTATGCTAGACTCCAATTGATAAGTCCTTATTTATATTCAACTTGTAGCACAGTTAAAATACAAATAAATGCATATAGTGTTGTATTTCTTAAAAGTCATCTTATATTACCAAAATAATAATTACTCAAAAAAATTGCAAATAAAAAATCAATTTCCCAACAATTATATTCTCTAATACCATATTACATAAAGAAGGTTCAAGAGATTTAGCTTTATTCTTTACAAGGTGTTGAGTTTAATAAGAAGATTTAAATTGGTATTCTTTCAACAATATGTGTAACACATGAAAGAAGACTAAAACAAGAAAGAGAATAAATAATTTCAAAGAAAACAAGAGAGGGAGAAATTTTTCGAGAGGAAATCCATACGGAGAACTGAAGAAAAAAGGTTAAAAAATGAGGAAGAAGGTGAAAATAAAGAAGAAAGGTGAGAGAATAAGGAAGAATGATTAAAAATGAGGAAGAAAGATAGATATAAATGAAATGAGCATATTTATTAAAAAAATAAATTTAAAAGAGGGTTAGGCTAACTAACCATTATTTTCTGTGGGCCATTTTGATGGGTTTTTTTTCCAGTTATCATGCGCTCCCAAGTGAGTATCTACACATGTTATGTCAAGTCAGCGACGAGAGATTTTTAATACGAGCGATAATATAGTTCAGGGAGGTTTTGAGGACACTGAATAGTTTAAGTAGGAAACTGATAACTTAAAAAAAAAAAAAAAAAAAAAA